TCTTTGCTTAAATTTGAGAGGATATTAAAACAATAGTGAAAATAATGTATGAGAAAAGCTACTTCACTGGTGCATCTCTGGCACGTTTACAATCAGATTATGGTGATTTAGAATGGGGAAACATAATCTCAAGTGCTAGGACTGGAAGTAGTCATGAACTTTTGATTGTAACTCCCAATATTTAATTTTTCTAAAAAATGTATGTGGTATATTTTTAAAAAACTAAATAATAGCTTAAATTATCCTCTGTACTCACCAATAGGTCCATTCCATGGAATGTCTGATAATGCAAGAGCTGCGGAAGCTAAAAACAGTAAGATTCATTATTTGAAACTGCTTATGATATTTCACTAGGTCTACTTATTCCAGAGGGAAAAAAGATTTTAAAAAATTCATTACCTGCATTAATTGCCTGTACCTCAGGACTGTAGGCATCATCTACAGCTAGAAGATTACAAATGATCTGGCACAGGAAAAACAAATAATACAGTTTGAGTTAACAGTATTGAATACTAAATTTCAATAACCTGGCAAATGGTTCCACACTGAGCAAGAATGTATCATGTCTCTTTGGTTGTTTAATGCATTTATAGACAAATGGATAAGGAATACTTGAAATGAGTTAGAGACATATTGTCTGAGAACATAAACACAACTTTTGTATTAGTTGAGAACCCAAATGATGTGCAGAAATATTACATAAATTGTAAAAAAATAAAAAAGCAACTAGAAGTATGGCAGAACATACAGTGAAGATGGAGAAATGAGCAAATAATTTTAAGAAGTACTCTTTCTTAGAGGAAAGCCAAGTTTTACTAAACAGCATTGATACTGTCCAAATCACAATAAACTAGGATAAAATGCTGCATATTTTCACTCATATGATTAGGCTTATTTCTTCTTTCATTTCCTTGAAGTCCCTATGCTTTTATCAAATGGGAAACACATTAAAGAAAAATGCTCCTTTGAATTGAAGCTGGTTTGGGAATGCATTAACACATCCACTAAATTTCCAAAGTTTTGGAGGGCACAAAAAAGAAAGGGAAATTGTTCCTTGCCAATTCCAGCAACAAAAGCAATTCTATAACAGAAAAAAAAATTGGATTCTAACATTACTAAGTAGCTACTTAGCACCAATATTGCACTATTAACTAGACAGAAAATTAGAAGTGACCAAAGTAGCCTACCTGTGTATCGTAACAGTAGCCGGCTGGAAAAAGCGGTCGGATTGACCGATCTGTAAAATATAATATTTAAAAAATATATTATATTTTATACAATTTAAAAAAATTGTACAAAACCCCCAGAAAATTAATTTATTTATTTAAAAATGCTCAGATCATCTATAAAGGTAACAACCTTGCAATATGGCTTTTATAATAAAAAAATTGTTATTTTAGCTAAATATTTTCCAGAACTAGGCTTGTTGCATTTATTTATATGATCCACTACAAGTAGTCCTCGATTTACAACCATTCATTTAGTGACTGTTTGAAGTTA